ATGAGGGTGCTACCTAGTGAGATTGTCTCAAGAAAAGAAAAAAAAAAGTCCTTTAACTAATTAATTATTTATTGGCCTGGAACTCACTTTGTAGACCAGGCTGGCCTTGGACTCACAGAGATCCACCTGCCTCTGCTTCCCTACTAAAGGTGTGAGCTGCCACGCCCAGCCTATTTGTTTGTTTGTTTGTTTGTTTGTTTATTTATTTATTTATTTATTTATTTTTGGTCTTTTTGAGACAGAGTCTCCCTGTGGCACCAGTTGTCCTGGAACTCACTGTGTAGACCAGGCTAGCCTTGAACTCACAGAGATCTGCCTGCCTTTGCCTCCTAAGTGCTGGGAATAAAGGCGTGCGCCACCACGCCCGGCTATTTATTTATTTTTAAAGATTTTATTTATCATTTTATGTGTATGCATGTATTGCTTGTGTGTAGATAAGTGCACCCGTGTTGTGCAGTGCCCACGGAGGATAGAAGAGGCTGTCGGATCCCCTGGAACTGGAGTTACGGACAGCTGTTAGCTGCGATGTGGGTGCTGGGATTCAAACCCGGATCTTCACAAGAACAACCAGTGTTCTTAACTGCTGAGCCATCTCTCCAAGCTCCTATTTATTTATTTTTAAGGCAAGCTCTCCCTGTACCCCTAGCTGGCCTGAAACGTGCTATGTAAGCCAGTTTGGCCTTGATCTCACAGAGGTATGCCTGCCTCTGCCTCTCCAGCGCTGGGGCTAAAGGTGTATACCACCATACCTGGCAGTTTATTATTTTCTGAAAGCTCTGTAGTTCATTTTATTTGGCCTTTGGTCACATTTTTCGATTTTTTAAAGTTTATTCATTATGAGGCTGAAGAGATGACTGAGTGATTAAGAGCACTGGCTGTTCTTGCACAGGGGACCTAAATTTGGTTCCCATCACCCACATGAAGACTTACAACTAATTGTAAATCCCTAATTCCAGTTCCAGGGGATTTAACACCTACGTGTGGCCTCTTACATGTGGTGCACTTACATACACACAGGCAAAACAAACACTTATACACATGAAATAAAAATAAACCTAAAAACATTTGAGGGCCAGCTGGCTCCACCGAGCAGTTCCCCCCCCCCAAAAAAAAAACACCCTAAAAACATTTAAGTCCACCTACCCAGTGCTTAGGGACCATTGCAGAAGAGGGGGTGGAAAGATTGTAAGAGCCAGCATGAACATATGGAAATAGTCCTTCAGACACCTGGGTCCTTTCTCATACAAACCTACAGTAATGGTGTCAGCATGTACAAGACCCATGCAAACTTAAGCAGAGAAAAAACCCAACACAGAACTGTGGAAATGAACAGCAAGCCCCAATCTTAGTCAAAGAATTATTGGCAGCTGATTACTGCTGGGTGAGGAAGAGCTGATCTTGAAGAGAGAGACTCTAGATAGGCTGACTAAATAAACCCTGGTGGATGAACTTGCGTAGAGGGACATCTTGGGACACTAACTTTACATAATAGGCCTTAATACAAATGAGAGAATGTATGAACTCCAGTTGGGGGGCTATTGGAGGGTACCAAAGGGGATTTAAAGGCAATTTTATGTATGAAATACACAAAAATTCAATAAAATTTAAAAAATTATTAAAAAAAGCAAAACAAAAAAAATTTGAGATTTAACTTTATGTGCATATGTATATGTATGTGTGGGGGTATATGAATGTGAATGTAGTGTCCAAGTTTATAAGAGGGTGTTAGATCTCCTTGTGTTAACAGGTGGTTCTGAATTGCCCAACATGGGTGCTGGGAACCAACTGTTACTGTGGTCTCCCTGTAGCCCCAGCTGGCCTGGATTCGCTATGGAGACCAAGCTGGCCTCGAACTCACAGAATGTGCCATGAATTTAAAAATACTTCTTAGTGAGAAAATATTGCTTGAACTTTTTACCTCACTAATTGCACTTTCTGCCTTTTCTTCTACTGTAGTTAACTGACACTACATATAATAGGAGCAATAATTTTCTACTAGAATTTCTTGTCACTTTATTCTTGTACCCTTGTTGGTGTTTTCTGCTTGCTTGTTAATGAACCCAGAGGCTTGCACCTGCTAGGTAACTGCCCAGTCCTCTATTTTTGTACTTATTTTTTTAATTAATTAATTAATTAATTAATTTTTTGGTCTTTTTGAGACAGGGTCTCCCTGTAGCCCCAGCTAGCCTGGATTTACTATGAAGACCATGCTGGCCTCGAACTCAAAGAGGTCCGCCTGCCTCCGCCTCCGGAGTGCTGGGATTAAAGGCGTGCACCACCCTGCCTGGCTGCTATTGTGCTTTTAAAGTTATAATGTCAAATATATTGTATAGTTGTACAATACAAAAAGACCAGTTTTTAAAAATGCAGAAACATTTAAAGACAGTTAAGCTGGGCATGGTGGTACATGTCTGTAATCCCAGCATCCAGGAGGTTGAGGGAAGGAGGGTTGCAACAGTTGTAGAGCAGCTAATATAGTGAGACCCTGTCTGAAGGAAGGGCAAAAGGAAGAGGTGGGGGAGGGGAGGAAGGGAGACAGAAAAGTTACACAAATCTCAGAAGTAAAATTTAGTAGTCACTTTTGGAGCACAATATCCAGAGTTAAAATAATCTGTTTTGTGACATTTTTGGTGTATGTTGAACATTCTTCCTTGTCTTTAAATGTCCTAAGAGGATATAAATTACAGTATCTGTACCATATTCTCACTCTTCTTAAACCTATTACTTATCTCAATGGGCTTGTCTATATTTGAAGAGGCAGAGATTTATCTAGTTCTTTTCATTTAACTGCCTTTCTTCATTGTATTTCGTATTCTATCAGACTGCTACTTGATCTCATAAATTTTTTGCTCAGCTTTTAAAAAAGTGATCAAGCCAGGCATGGTTTTAGGCAGAGGCAGGTGGATCTCTTTGAGTTCAAGGCCAGCCTGGTTTACATAGTATGTTCCAGGCCAGCTGGGGCTGTAGGGAGACCATGTCTCAAATAGAGAAAATGTATCTTTACATGTAGAACCTGGTCTCATCTTTTACTTTTTTATTTGGATTAAAAAAATTATTTTTTAAATTTTATGTGTTTGTGTTGCCTACACGTATGTAAGTGCACCCATGTCGTGCAATGCCCTCAGAAGACAGAAGAGGCCGTCAAATCCCCTGGAACTGGAATTATGGACAGTTGGTAATGCCATGTTGGTGCTGGGATTCAAACCCTGGTCTTCTGCAAGAACAGCCAGTGTTCTTAACTGCTGAGCCATCTCTCCAGCCCCAGAGTTCTACCTTTTAAAAAAGGCTTCAGCTGGGCATGGTGGCACACGCCTTTAGTCCCAGCATTTGGGAGGCAGAGGCAGGTGGATCTCTGCATTCAAGGCCAGCTACAGGGAGACCCTGTCTCAGAAAAGACTAAAAATAAAAAATAAATAAGGACTTCATTTTTTTCACTTTGACCTTCTGATGTTATTCTAATTTCTGCGCTCATTCATCATAACCACATTATTTTATTTGAATTATCTCTTCAGTAGTCGTAGTGTTAATACTAACATAGCCTGAAAGATACAGAAGGAAAAGATTTTTAATTGGACATCTTTAGTGGTTGTCTGATAGGTTACTAAAAGTTAATCTGGGAATGGTGGCCATACCTGTACTCCTAGCATTTGAAAGGCTGAGGCAGGAGATACTGCAAGTTCAAGGCCAGCTTAGGCTACAGAACAAAAAATGTTATCACCTCTATTTCTAGTCCTTGATGTGAACATTTATTTTCTACTGAGTTGTTTAGCAGAGTTTTCATTTAGTCTTACTCATTACTTTTTCTACATTATTTGGGTAATCTCTTAGAAGTCTTTACTTGTGCAACTTGATACTAGGGACTGTTTTCTAGATTGGCAGGTTTTTTTAAAAAAATTTTTATCTGTATGCGTGTATTACCTACATGTAGGTAAGTGCACCTGTGCCATGCAATGCCCAAGGAAGTCAGAAGAGGCTGTCAGAGCTCCTGGGACTGGAGTTACAGACAGCTGTTAGCTGCCATGTGGGCGCTGGGATTCGAACCCGAGTCTTCGCCACTGAGCCATCTCTCCAGCCCCTAGATTGGCAGTTTTTTATGTGGCATTAGAATTTTTAAAAAAAAATATTTTATGTGTATGTGTGTATTGCCTGCATGTAGGTAAGTGCACCCGGGTCTTGCAGTGCCTGTAGAGGACAGAAGAGACTGTCAGATCTCCTGGGACTGGAGTTAGGGACAGTTGTTAGCCACCATGTGGGTGCTGGGATTCAAACCTGGTTCTTTTGCAAGAACAACCAGTGTTCTTAACCACTGAGCCATCTCTCCAGCCCCAACTTGTAAACTCTTAATCTACTTAAAATATGGGAGAAGTTCTGATTTCATGCAGTCTAAATATCTTTATTTTTATTTTATTTATTTTTTATGTGTATGAACATATTGCCTGCATGTATGTGAGTGCACCTGTGTTGTGCAATGCTGTGGAGGTCAGAAGAGGGCTTCAGAGTCCCCTGGAACTGGAGTTAAGGATGGTTCATAGCTGCCATGTGGGTGCTGGGAATTAAACCTGGGTCCTCTGCAAGAGCAGTCAGTGCTCTTAACCACTGAGCCATTTCTCCAGCCTCAATATCTTATTTTTTATTATGTGTATGTTTTGCCTGCATGTAAGTGTTCCCATGTCATACAATGCGGAAGCCATTGGATCCCTGGAACTGGAGTTACGGTTGGCTGTTAGCTGTCATGTAGGTGCTGGGAACTGAACCTGGGTCCTCTGCAAGAGCAGTCAGTGCTCATAACTGTTGCACCATCTCTCTAGCCCCCTAAATGTCATTTAATTGAATGTTAATCCACCTGAACAGATTCCTTTCAGTGTAAATTAGAGTTTATCTAGGGACTTGAAGCATGCAGTGGGTCCTGGTAGCCAAAATGAAGATGTAGGTTTGCTTCCCTTGCCTTACCTGTGTACATACTTGTTACATCCCTACAATGTTCTTATTTTTTCTCTTAGTGGAAGAGAAAGCTAATACCCACCTCCTCCTTGGCATGTGCTTAGACTCTTGTGCACGCTACCTGCTAGTTTCCAAGCGGCCATCACAGGCACAAAGGATGTATGAAAAAGCCCTTCAGATTTGTCAAGAGATACAAGGAGAAAGACACCCACAGGTAAAAGAGGAAAACACATAAAACAATTTAAAAGACGTATGTAGACCAGGCTTGGCTGGAATAGGCTTGTAATAATCCTAGCCCAACCGTGTGGTGGCATTCGCTTTTAATCCCAGCATTTGGGAGGTAGAGGCAGGTGGTTCTCTGTGAGTTCAAGGCCAGTCTGCTCTACATAGTGAGTTCCAGGCCAGCAGGGGCTACAGGGAGACCCTGTCTCAAAAAGACCGAAAAAATAAAAAAAAAAAAATTCCCGACTACCCTGAAAACAGATAGGAAGATCAAAAGTTCAAGGCTGCCTGGCCAAGTTAGTGAAACTTTGTCTCAAAAAGTTTTAAAAAGGCTGGAGGTGACCAGGTGTGGTGGTACACGCCTTTAATCCCAGCACTCAGGAGGCAGAGGCAGGCAGATTTCTGTGAGTTCATTGCCAGCCTGGTCTACATAGTGAGTTACAGATCAGCTGGGGCTACAGGGAGACCGTGTTTCAAAAAGACCAAAAAAGTGGGCTGGAGGTATATTTCAGTGGTAGAGAGCTTGCCTAGCATTAGTGAGAATTAAATTCAATCCCTGGAATCAATTATTGGGTGTGGCCAGGCGTGGTTGGCCAGCCTGGGCAACATAGTGTGTCTGTGTCTTAAAAAAAAACAATAAACCGGGCGTGGTAGTGCACATCTTTAATCCCAGCACCTGGGAGGCAGAGGCAGGTGGATCACTGTGAGTTCAAGGCCAGCCTGGTCTACATAGTGAGTTCCAGGACAGCTGGGGCTACTGGGAGACCCTGTCTCAAAAAAGACGAAAAAAAAAAAAAAAACCAACAATCAGATGGGTATGAAGTTTCATATTCCAGATGTATGTAGGATTTTTGCATTCCTGGTTTGGTCATTTTCTTACTACCAGCCTTCATTATGCCTAACTATTTATCTCAAGAAGGATTTGAGCTGGGCATGGTAGTATACACCTTTAATCCCAGCACTGGGGAGGCAGGTAGATCTCTGTGAGTTCCAGGCCAGCTAGGGCTACAGAGTGAGATCTTGTCTCAAAAAAAATTTTTTTTTGAGATTGCTGGTCTTTCACTGGATCTGCCCAGAACTTTTGGTATGAGTCATAGTTTGCATAGCAGACAAGGCTTCTATAAGATGAGCCTCCCCAGGTGTTAGGCTTTCAGACATTCAGAATATACAGCCTAGTATTTCACAGGAGTCTGCAGACCCCAGTTAGAATCCTTTTATTTCTCATCCAGTGTGGGGATCAAACCTAGGGCTTTGCATTAGCAAGTGCTTTACTATTGAGCTCAGTTCCTCTCCACACCAATTAGAATTTTGTAACAGGTTATTATATGAGTGTTTTTGCCATAGTTAAAGGTGGAGGTAAAGAAGTAGGGACTTAATTTTTTTTCCTTTGGTTCTTTTTGAGACAGGGTCTTCCTGTAGCCCCAGCCGGCCTACAATTGGAACTCACAATGTAGACCAGGCTGGCCTCAAACTCACAGAGATCTGCTTGCCTCTGCCTCTGGAGTGTTGGGATTACAGGTGTGTGCCACCACTTTTTTCTTTTTGGCAGGACTGGGGATTGAAACTAAGGCCTCATGAATTTGAGTCAAGTGTTCTACCACTGGGCCATGGCCACAGCCCTTAAAAAAAGACTTAAATCATTATAGTATTTAAGCAGGCCACAGAAAACCTTGTGTGAGAATACTAAACATATGAGTTTAGATCATCTTTTTCTTCTGGCAAAATGCATTCTTGGGGGTAAGGAGTGGATTGTCTGTGAATGTCTATACCCTACCATGTAAAACGAATGTTGACTAAACATGGACTATTAGGACTTACGACAGAGTGGGCCTGAATGGTCTCTCATTAGGGAGTAGTTAAGGCAAACCTAGTTTTTTGTTCCAAATTCTTAGGCACTCTTAATGAGAACCCTCCTAATGTAGGTGATCTACTTCTTTTGAATGAGGTTCAGGATCACTGGCAGGAATGGTATTATATAGTGAGGCTTCTCAACATCACATATCTTCTGTGACATCACACCATAGCTTCTTTTTGCTGTTATTTTTCACCTAGTGTTTCTAATTTCATAATGAAGTAGATTAATATTTTGTTCTAATTCTTTTCAGTATTACTTGCCATAGTGTCTGCTGTATAGTGTGAAGTAACAGATGCTTGTGGTTTGTTAAAGGCAGGTATCCCTCTCATTTTGTAGGATGCTAAGAAAGATGAAGTCTTTTGTTGGTTCACAGTGTAACAAACTTCAAATTAACCTTGCGTATAGGTATGTCTGTAAACAAGCTGTCTTTTTCTTTTTTTCTAGACTATTGTGCTGATGAGTGACTTGGCTACTACCCTGGATGCACAGGGTCACTTTGATGAGGCCTACATTTATATGCAGAGGGCATCCGATCTGGCAAGAGAGACAGATCATCCTGAGCTGCACATGGTGCTCAGCAATCTGGCTGCAATTTTGATGCACAGAGGTAGGTAGCAGTAGAAACTTGACCAACTTCTAGGAAGGGATATCACTGGGTTTTAAAGTGAAATGGTTTTTAAGGAGGGCAGTCAACAGTGAAGAAACCCATAAGTTAAATAGCTAAGTAAGGGCAAAAACAGCATGTGTGTGAGATTACAGTAGTTTTGCTTAATTTCCAAAAGTTCTGTATTTCTGCTTGACTGTATAAAGCTAGAGAATACTTTGCAATGATAGTACCTTATCTTTGTAGTACTTTACAGATTCCTACATGCTTTCACACATGTAATTCCTTAGTCCTCTGAAGACAGCAAGATAGAATAAGATGTTTCTGAGTGTAAGCATTTGACACCATGTGACTCAGGGCTTTACCTGAGAACTTCATAAGCCTGGGATGACCCTATGTTACATGCACCACCATTGTAAAATCTTTGGCCAAGGGCGAGCCCAAGGTGCCCCAGAAAGGGCTGTTAGGAATTCCACAGGAGTTGACAAGCAGTCCATGTTCAAGGTTGTCAAGTAGGTGTAAAGTGAGACAGCACCCACATGTATCCTCATTAGTGGTTTCTCTTTAGTCACTTTGAAAACACACATTTTCTTCTTCCTTTTCTCTGGGTTATTTTAGAAAGATACACACAAGCAAAAGAGATCTACCAGGAAGCACTGAAGCAAGCAGAGCTGAAAAGAGATGAGGTTTCTGTACAGCACATCAGGGAAGAATTGGCTGAACTGTCAAGAAAAAGTAGACTGTTGACTTAATTTTGCCAAGCTCTAATTTATTTTGTTGTAGGGAGGTCATCTCTGGTAACCCAAATGAACTTTTACTCCAATTTCTGGCACCCCAGTCAGTGGTGTTAATCATTCGTTGATACTCAGCTTTCTTCAACTTAGCCTCAGTGAAGGATGAGCTATATACACTGCCACTTTTTTCATTTGATTTTGAGCAGGGCTTCTCTATGTAGGCTGACCTGGAATTCACTGTATAGCTGAGATTGGCCTCCAGCTTGTAGTCCTGCCTTACCTCAACCCGCAAGTGCTGGAACTATAGGCAGGTACCATCATGCCTTGTCTTTAAAGGAGAAACAATTTTTACCTTGTACTGATTATAAGGACCGGTGTCAATTGATGCTTTCCAGTGTAACATGAAAGTACAATATGTGCTGGTCTGAGAAATTACAGACTACAATGGGCCAGTTTTCCTGAGGTATGGTCATTACACCTTCCATAAGATATTGGTCTGTATCTTCTCCTTTTCCATTTCTAGCAGACCAGTTACTTGTCTAATGGCACAGGAGGATTTTGGTTCTTATAATCTATTTTATTGAAGCATTGTGAGATTTAATGAATATAGGAAGAAAAATAATTCTAGTTGGCCAGTGGTCAGCAGCATTAACTTCTTAAGTGGGAATTAGATACTTCATCTGTTTATCATATATAAGTATTAAAAATGGTGGTGGGGGAAGGAAAGTAAATTCTTTGCTAGTACTGTCTGAATACTTGACTTCCTTTGCAACCACCGTCATACAGTGGAATTAATAGGCGACCCTCTTGATAATACTGATGTGTATGCACTGTTGGTAATGGGGAGCCACTGACCTAAATCCTTGTTAGTACTGGCTTTTTGATTTTGGGATCTCTCTATTCTCATCTGTAAAGTGGGAAACAAATGAGATTCTTTCTCATGGGAAAAGACTGCTTTGCTGAAAAAGCTTTATCACTGCTTCAAGTACAAGTTACACAGATGGATGGTCTCATATTTGCAGTCATGCAAACAGCCATTTGTCTAAGGGAAGGGACAGTTTTTCTGGGTACCATGAAGGAATACTAATGGTATTGATATGCCTGTGGGGGTGGGGGATACATGAGAGAGACTGGGAAATGGATTGTTTGCTTATATGTACGTACTGGAAGAATCTTTTCATAATAAAATAGAGACTACACAACAATATTGTATGTATTCTAGTAATCTTTGAATCACAGAATATTTGAGTTACTAAAAAAAAAAAACACCCTAGAAACCCCAAGGTCCAATCCTCAGGAATTAAGACTATACTAGAAATTTTTATTTTGCAGAGGGAGGTTTTTCCCCCAATTTCTCTGTTAGCTTATGCTGTTTACCGCCCAGCTAACCAAGAGTGACGAGAGATTTCAGTTGCTTTTAGCATTGAGAGTATTTTTACTATTTCATAATTTCAGTTACCCAAAGTTAACAGATTTCACTGTAAGTTTTATCTAAGATTTTTTTCCTTTGGTCTTTTTTGAGACAGGGTCTCACTGTAGTTCTAGCTGGCCTGGAACTCGCTATGTAGACCAAGCTGGCCTGGAATTCACAGAAATCTGCCTCTGCCTCCCAAGTGCTGGGACTAAAGGCGTGTGCTATCATTCCTGACATTATCTAAGAATTAAAAAAAATTTTTTATTTTGTGTATGGGTGTTTTGCCTGCATGTATGTAAGTGTACCACGTACATCCAATGCCTGCTGAGGTCAGAAGGTATTGGATCCCCTGGAACTGGAGTTACAGAGGGTTTAGTTGGTGCTTAGGAACTAAAACTGAGTCCTCTGCAAGAGCAGCCAGTGCTCTTAACCTCTGAGCCAGCTCTCCAACCCTTATGTAAGTCTGAGCCAGCTCTCCAGCCCTCATATAAAAATTTTTAAGTGATTCAGTGCAATTGCTAGAAAAACTCGTTTTCAGATGGCAGTCTATTGATGTATTCTCACTAGGGTTTACTTGTACTGGTGTGAAAAAGATATCGAAACAAAAGCACCATTCTTTCACTGATTATAATGTTAACAGGTTGTATTTTAATTTCATAGTTTAGAATTTTGAACTGTACTGTTACTGTAGTTTTTCAGGGCAAAAGTGTACATAAAACAGAATCACAGCATATGAAAATTTAAAGTTTAAAATGAAATTTCCAACTAAAGGGACTGGAAGACTGGTTGTCAGAATATGACTTCTATTGGAAAACCTTAATTTAGTTGTAGGTACATATTTACAGATGTGGTGTCACCCTTGGATTTGCAGCTAACCTTTACCAAGGTGTCAGTCAGGGCTGTGCTTTTGCCTCCAATATACAGTTAAGCTGCACCTCCACCCATCTCAAGGGTTTGATTCATAGATAAGCCATTAGAATTCAGAAATGATACTCTAATCTTCCATTCTCAAATCTCTTCTCCAGATGATGGTAGATGAAGTTATACATACATGTGCTGAGGACTAAGCAGTTCTCGGGTGGAGCCACAGGAATAACAAACCAGTCTATAAAACAGGGATTAGAAACCAGTGCTATGGGTGGTAGGAGGGGGTTCAGTGGTTCATTCAGTGGTACTTCTCAGAGCTTTCTTAGAGGCTTTTAAACTTTTGTTTAAAAGTTCAGGTCTTAGAAGTCTATAAACTGTCAATTATTTACATATTATATTTTATTGTTTTTATGTGTATGAGTGTATTACCTGCATGTATGTAAGGGTACCCGTGTTGTGCAATGCCCACAGAGGACAGAAGAGGGCATCAGTTCCCCTGGAACTGGAATTTAGCATGATTGTTAGCTACCATATGGGTTCTGGGAATGGAACACAGGTCCTCTGCAAGAGCAACCAGTGCACTTAGCTGCTGAGCCATCTTTCCAGCCCCTAAAGTGTTAATTTTAGTCATCCTGAGAAAGCTCTATTTCTTCCCTTCCTAGTTCTCAGTGGCATTATCCATAAACCCTTAAGTATCAATATGCTGTGGAAGGAAGCTTAAAAGTCAATGATATGGGTTCTGGGAATGGAACACAGGTCCTCTGCAAGAGCAACCAGTGCACTTAGCTGCTGAGCCATCTTTCCAGCCCCTAAAGTGTTAATTTTAGTCATCCTGAGAAAGCTCTATTTCTTCCCTTCCTAGTTCTCAGTGGCATTATCCATAAACCCTTAAGTATCAATATGCTGTGGAAGGAAGCTTAAAAGTCAATGTCAAGCTACACACACACACACACACACACACACACACACACACACACA